TAAATAATCAACAAACTTTGTAGCTCCACCTCACTTCTCCGGCGAGAAGCCGAGAACACCGCTACTCCGAAATAAAAAAAAATATCCTTGGTGCCATCCCAGTCTGCACCACCGAGATCACCGCTGCCAACCTCATAGAAGAAAAAATCGTGGCTCCACCGAGATCACCGCCACCTTGTAAATTTTCTTGTGACCCCATCTTGCTCAAAACCGCAAGATCTCTGTCACCTTTTATTGCTTTTGTAGCTCCACCTTGTTCAATACCACAAGGTCCTTGCTGCTTCCAGTTTTCATTGTACCCGTGACTCCATCTCAACGAATCCCATCAAGATCTTTGCCACTACCTTAGCTCCCTAGAGTTTTAACCCTCCACCCCGAGCTAAAAAAAATGACAACTCACCTTTGTGAACATTCTCTGAGACCACCCCTCTAGCAGTTAGCTTCTTTCAATCTGCCCATCTTGCACCGCCGCAGCAACACTTGCGGAACACGCCGCCCGACCTCTTCTTGTCGGGAAGACTTTCGACACAAGACATAAACCGCAGTTTTCCACTCCGCTAGACCACCGATCTCCTCAAGTCCTGTTCCCGCATCATACTTCACAAAGCCAGCATGCCGCTTCGTACCCGGTCCTCATGCCCTCCACTTTGTTCTTGAAGTCCCATGGTCGCCTTCTGGCCAAAACTGACCAGTCCCTGGGTTCTCAAAATTTCTCTTTTTACCGCTTACAAATCCCTCCTGCCCAGCGTAACCAAGCTCTGATACCAATTGTTGGGATTTTAAGCGCGTAAGATACCGAAAAATATTGAGAACACCAGAAAAATGAGAGAACAAACACAAGAAGAATATATGAGAGAAAAAAATTATATTTCCACTACTTCAGGATAATATACAAAAAACTCTCCCCTGTTTACAAGGCTAAATTCCAGACACTCGTAAACAGATCTTTCCACATCCTATGCCCGGATATATTTTTCCAAGTAACTAAAACCAGTTACTCCCTACACTCACCCACACTCACCAAGACCCCTTGGATTTTCCCAGTGGTATTCTTGTGTAGAATTCCTCTCATGCTTCTCTCTCTACCTTGGTGGTGTGTAAAACTCACACACACATCTACCTTAGTCTCACTCCTTTTAAAGCAACTCAAAGCCCCTCAAAATCACTCGTACATGTGTAATGCCTAGAAGATGCTTGTTGATTTGCACTAATCCAAAGAGATAGAAACAAAAAACCAAAAAAAACTCTACATCCAAATGCATGTCACTATCGTTTTTCCTTTTTTTTTATTTCTTTTTCTCTCTTCTTGAATATTTAATCAATATTTCCCAACACTGAGAAGTGGAAACTAGCAAACCAGAAGTGACATGTTAAAAAATTAAAACGAATAAAATAAATTTAATGATTGATACAACATTTATCACACACTGGAATATATATAACAAAATAACAAATAGTAACAACCCTATAAAAATGTACCCCATAAAAAACCAAGAGGCTCTTTCTGTTAGATTTTTTGTATTGTATACTATTACTAATATAGGAGTAAAAAAAAAGATTTGGTGAGGGAGTAACTGTTGAATGTCTCCAAAAACATTGATCTTGTAGTCAGTTCTTCGGACTCCAATACAGTATTTTACAGTAAGTCCATGGCGACCTCATGTATGAGTCCCTTCAGCAAACATCTTTCAACATCCTTTGCAATCTCATCCTTTTCTAGGAAGGCAAACATGGTTCTGTCCCATCCCAAGTCCCACATACTATTTATATCTGAGTTTCTGTTTTGCATGTCTTTTGTAAGCCTGTCATCAAAGTGCTGCGTTGACTCCCATTCTTCACTGCCATTATGGCTGTAGCTGGCCAACTCGTCGAAGTCCTTCCACATCTGCTTGATCAGATCATCTAAAGATCCCACCTTTATGTCGCTGATGATGGATGTTTTTCTTGCACAGGGATGGACTGAGATTTCTTGCCTCCTCCCTTTTCTTTTCATTACCTCGTAGGCAATGTCTACCGTAAGCAGACGGTCTGCGGCCCCTTCATTGATTTGATGATCACTTGCATGATGAAGAACACTTGGAGGTAAGTTCAGGTTGAAAAGTGCTTCAGCTGTGCTATGGAATAGGTGGCTTTTGGTGAGTGATTCCTTGAGGTTCTTTTCCGGTTCCGTCAGTGGCTCATTTTGTCGTTTTGGAATTAGCTTGCTGGTTTCTGATCCAATCAGTGTGTTTTCTGTAACATTCGAAGAATTAATTAATCATCCTCATGTGCCATCCGTGATGTTTTGTTATGTGGATTCAATTTTTTTATGTGGTTTCATATTGGCCCAATTATGAATTCTATCCCTCACTTCTCTAGATGAATATATATATATCATTTCCGGGAAAAGAGAAACGTATAAGAACCTGAATTCTCAGTGGCCGCAATTGTAATTTCATGCTCTTGGGGTCCTGCAGCAAGACATTAGACATGAGTTAGGAGTCATGCTCTTCTACGTCCATTTTCAAATGGCATACAATAAGCCAGATGTTTGAATTATTATTTTTTCTTTCTAAACTTACCTTCTTGGTGGTTTTGTACAAGATTTTGAGAATTGATTGTGTGACTTTGGTCTGCATCATTGTGATTCCTCTCTTCCGCAGTATCTTGCTGCTGCAATATAATTAGCAATCAAAAAGTAAAATCCAAACTGTAATATCGATCATTATGGATTTTACGGAGTAAATATTTATGAAACTTATACTTACATTTTCATTAGGAATATCAGATGCCAAATATATTGGATCACCAGCATCATTGCAAGAATCTTTTGCTTCACAAAGCCATATTTCTTCTCCAGCCTTTGAAGTTTCAGGTTCAGAGACATTTTTGCTTTTCGATTCTGTTGAATGTTCATCCATCAATCTGCCTTCTAAACCAGAGCTTCTATTCACATTGCATTTCAACCGTTTCTTCACCTGCGATATTGGCAACTGCCGTTTCAATATGTTTTTAGATGGGTCTTTTCTTTGGACTTGAATGTGATTCTCTTTCTTCTTTCTGGATGGCTCCTTGATAGGCTTCTCTTGGGCTCTATGCTTAGCAAAAGTTGGCTTTGTAGCAGCAGTCTTGGCCCGGTCAGGTGATGGCTCTCTTGGTTTATTATTCTTTGATGATTGTGAGACTCTGGCCTTAACTTGCTTTCCCCCTGGTTTTCCAAGATCCAGGTTTTGCTTCACTGACTTGGCCCCTTTTTCACCCACATTGTTTTCCTTCCGATGTATATCATTCTTCTTCACGTGCTTATTTTTCTCTGGTGACAAGTTTTCAGCAGCTTCTATGTTTAGCTTTTGTGGAAGAATTGGATGAGGTTCGTTCTTCTCTGTTGTGCGCTGCTTTAAGAAGTTGTTATTGTCTGTTGGCTCTCTCTCATTTTTCAAGAAATTCCCGGAACCTTTCTTGGAGGTTGACTGACCTGAGGCCTTCAGATTTGCATTTTGAGGAAATTCATCCAACCCCATGAGTTTTGCAATGACATTTGAAATTCTCCCCTTCCCTGCACCATGTGTTGATGAAGTTGACTGGCTTTTTGGCTCCAAATTTGCAGAGCCGTCCTTAAAATCCGGAATGCATGATATTGATCTTTTGTGGTACGTCAAGGCTAGAAGTTCATTTTTTCCACCATCTCTGGTCTCCTTCTTGGTATATGATTTTCTGGATGGCTTATCGAATGAAAATCTTGGAAGGTCCAGTTGCTTCTGATCTGCTGCTTTCACATCATCAACTCTATATTCATCTTCAACAAGAGATATTACATGCCGGTTCCTTCTTTGAGAGCTGTTAATGTGATTGGAAGATGCTTCCTGCAGGTTAACTAGCATTCTCAGGGATGACTCCAAGTCCATGGCACCTTTTAAGAGTTCCTTCTCAACTACTTTAATGGAGCATGTGTCAGAGTTATTAACACTGCTGCCATTCGAACAGCTGGTTTTGATGATCTGGTTTATCTTTTGTATCCCTTTTGAAACATTCGAGAGGGTAACGAACTGGCACTTTGAAGGAAAACTGCTGCCATCCATAATTTTCCCCATAAAGTCCAGCTTGGTGAACTTCTCTGAGTTTCCAATGGAAATCGCGATAGCCATGGAGAGATCCGTCTTCCCAGTGTTTTGGACACTAACCTCTCCTGAAGATTGTTGAAAATGAAATGATGCATGTGAGTTCTTTATCCTTGAGCCTACCTGCATAAGAAAAATGTGAATAACAAGTGAAGTTACTCAGCTATGTTAGGGAGAATTGCTTTTTTAGTCTCTTTGTTATTCAACTTTAGCTAACTTAGTCCACTCCTGTTAACTTTTGCCTATAAGGAAAAGAAAACATCTCTTGTTGTAGCCTTGGTGATAGGGTTTTTTTTCCTTCTAGTCAATCCCTTGCAATGGGGACTTTTACACCGCCACCGAAGGGTACAACCACGGATGATTTTGCAATATTTTCTAGGCAACAGAATGGCTAAACCTTCAAACTGAGGGACTAAAAGCAAAATTTCAGTATTGAATACGAACAAAAAAAACATTTCTCGAACAGTTAAACAAAACTTACCGATTCTAGAGATTTTATCTGTCGAGAACCCTGTCCAGCATTTGCATACCCCTCTGAAAGGTTCAGACAAATTTTAATTATAAAAAAACACAATTACACATCACACTTTGCATGGTGTGTGGCATTTAGATACATCATTTTATTAGTTATAACTTGTAGGAACTTAGTTGACATTTTACTTCTGCCCAGTTCAGATGTCAAGTAGGCAAAGATCATTAAAAAAAATGATTATATGTTTGAGTTTCGGCAAATCTACATTGGTTGCTGATTTACCTCTTGACGAAGATTGCGATGAATATCCCGAGCTCTGAGAAGATGCCATCCGCTCCTTCCTGAGCCGCAGATCGTGCAGCAGCTTCTGTGCAAAGTCTGATCTTGCTGCCATGGTTTCCCCAGGTTCATGCATCAATACCCAGAAACCAGAAAGATTTAACTCTTATTTCTGTGTCAATTAGGAATTCATGAGAAACTGGAATGTTAATTAGGACTATGTTTTGGTTGCAGGAGAGGTGGAATGTGTGTCACTTAGGTGGGATGCCTTATTCAGTGTTAGGTATGAGATGGGAGGTTTTGGAAAGAATGAATAAAAACAAGAAAGTTGGGACTCTTTACCAGGCAGATTGCTTCTCTTCCAATCCAAGCAAAGTCAGGGTTTAAAAGAACTTCACACAAAAGCTTCCAGCATTGGATTCTGCTGCTTCTTCTAAAATGGCTAAAGTCAGATCTAACATGGAGTTTTTCTTACTTTTTTAGGTTCCATTTTTTTTATATATATATTTAAAGTGAGCTTAAATTGCACTTTTCAGTTTGTTAAGAGGAGATATGTGCCTATCTTCTTCTGTTAACTAAAGTGCAGATTCTGCACTCTGCATATATTTTATTCATGCTGCCTTTGCCAGAAAGCATCCAAACAGCAAAGGTGCTGATTAACCAGCATGAACTTTCAAACCCTTTGTTGTATTTTATCTCCTCTTGGGTGTGATAAAATAAGACTAATACTATAAATACTCCCAACTATGATTAAAACTTAAGTGTACATACCAGAAACATTGTTTTTATTATTTCAATTCAACAATCTTGAGTTAAATATGTAGAAGTGTCATTTTATAAAAAATTATATTCCATTTAACTTTCAAATTAAGAGAATTCGATAAATATCTTAGAAAATAAACTTATTAAATGCGTTGAAATTAAATTAGGCAGATCTTATACTGCCTTCGTATCCAAATCGAATTCAAACTTTGACTTCACAGTTCAAGAAAAGTGTTGAAAAGTGAAAAATGTGCTTAGAGTTTGTTATAGGTAATGATAAATATTGATTTTTTTAAAAGGAGATAAGAGTGAAATTTATTTTGAGAATGGAAAAAGAAAATTGAGAATATAATTTGGCATGGTTGGAGTATATACTTAACTTACCATATGAGAAAGTGTATTGATTAAAATATAACAAAAAAATACTACAAGCTTGACTCTCTTTTTAGACAATGTTAGAGTCTATCCCACATCGGAAAGTTGAATAGAAAAGTTATCGGTATATAAGCCCTTGAGTTAAAACTAACTAATCGATTGAATTCAATCTTTTAATGTGGTTCAACCCAAGTGTCTTATTGCCCAATCCAGTTGTCCATACCCATTCCAAATTCTATCATGGTATCGGAGCCAGTTTTAGCCCACCTCGTTTGTCAAGGTGTCCGTCTAGACGTTCATTCCTAGCGGCCCGTTAGTCTTTAGCCCAGTGTTCCGTATGAAGTATNCCTTTAAGTGTTGGCGCTCAAAAAAAATCAAAGGAATGGGAGTTCATTTGCAAGTGGTCAACCGGTTAGATTCAAAATGGCCCGGTTGTCCACTTGAGGGGGAGTGTTAGAGTCTATCCCACATCGGAAAGTTGAATAGAAAAGTTATCGGTATATAAGCCCTTGAGTTAAAACTAACTAATCGATTGAATTCAATCTTTTAATGTGGTTCAACCCAAGTGTCTTATTGCCCAATCCAGTTGTCCATACCCATTCCAAATTCTATCAGACAAATCGAGAATCCAAGCAAAATAACATCGCATCTTTCCTTTTTTATTTATTTTTTGAGTTTTTCCTAAATAATGTTTCTATTTTTTCAAGGAAATAAGGCGTGGTTCACATATTTTCTGTCTCCATCACACTCATATGAACAAAAAAAATCATATTTCTCTAACTCGGCATTGCAATTCTTATGTAATTGATGATTTTAATTTATTTAGTTAACACGATAAATTAAAATTATGTAGTAGACTTGTAGATGAATACTTTCTCCCTCCCAAGTTAATTTTATCATTTTCTATTTTGAGGTTGTCTCATAATACACTACTCATTCCGTAGGCGTATATTGATTTGAACTCCTAAACACGAATTTCAACAGAAAAAATTCCTTTACTTGCTCTGTCCAAAAATAATCTCTCCATTCACTATTCACAGGGTCAAATTTTATTTACTTTATTAAACTATTTTTATTATTATTTGATAAAATAATATAGTCATGTGTCCTCTAATTTTTTTAGAGCTTTTAATCTTTTTTTTAATATGTAATTTTTATTTTTTAATTCCATAAAATTTTTCATATAAAATGATTTAAAAATATTTTTAGTCATATATCGTAACTGAACTTGTGCAAACAAGGGTCGGCCCGTTCGGTCCGCCCAGCCCGCCCTTTAAAAAGGGCGGATATGGACAACCTTTAATACCCAAATGGGCGGGTCAACCCAAACCCGAATTGTATATGGGTGGATCTGGAAGTTACTTTTAGCCCATCTGGGCCAATAGGCCCGCCCATATTCATCAAATATATTTACTTTATTATTAATTACCTAGCCAATATGTATTTTAAAATTTTCTATAATTCATGTATAATAGTTTAATTCACTCACCTCTTTTAAACAAAAATCAATACTCTTTTAATGAATCAATATGATGAGTTTATTAATTATGCAACAATATCTCTATTATGCTTTCTATATAAATGTGGTGACTGATTATTTTAATTTAAATATTAAAAAAGAGTTCAATGTTTTTTTAAAATTTTTTGTACAAAAAAATTTTTCTTGATGTTTTATCCGGGCCGGGCGGCCCGGTGGGCAGTCCGGCCCGCAAAGATGGGCGGGTTGGGTAAAGTATTAAATTACAAAGGGTCATGCGTTATGGCGGGCTTGACAGTATATAAAGATGTATGATGTGGACTGATGAAAAATATGTATTATGATCGTTGTGATGAAAAGTGATGATGTGTCAATGCGTATTAAATTTTGATTGATTTTAAATGAAAAAAATTAAAAAAAAAAGAGAGAGAAAGAGGGGAAATGCATGTGAGAATCATCAAGCCCTGCTTGTCCTGACTCTGTCACAGCACAGTGTTGGGGTGGTCACGCCGTGATGAAGCGTGATGCCTCCATCATGCCCGTGGGTAAATTTGATCTAAAAGAAAGTACTAAGAATATTAATGTGTGTATTCAATCAGGATTTTGATAAATTTTGTTGGATTCTGAAAATCTATGGATATTCAATTCGGATTTTAAAAAGTCATTTAAAATCCAAGTGTATTTAATTGAGATTTTAAATAATCCTTTTATATATGATGGTATTCAAAAATTGATAAATTTTTAAAGATTTTAAAAAATGCAGATTTTAATTGATTTATAGATCTTGGGTATAAATACAAATCAATTCCCAAATCTCATCCAAAACCTAAAGATTTGGAAACTTCCCTGAGTTCTTCTTCACCACCGCTTACAACTCCCACTCCTTCAACTTCTCCTCCCGCGCCATTGACGCCTTCCGCCCATGCACCTTCCTGTTCATCTCTTTCGTCAAATCTTTCTGAACCTTCCAGAACCCCATCTCCTCCATCGCCACCGGCTCGCTGATCCAGATCAGAGTGGCCGCCACGCAGACGAGGCACCACCGTCCATATTGAAAGCCCCCACTGATTCAAGATCCAAATTGCTTATGTGACAGATATTCAGATGGTCACTTTTGTATGAGAGATTTTGTTAACACCGACCCCATTACCCGGAATTCCATCAGTAGTTTTGGAGCAATAATTTTAAATTCTACAATAGTCTCAAGTTTATAAAAATCCATGAAAATCTATAATAAAAAAAATAAGTCAAACTTTGCATATACTCTGTATAGAGTTTATTGATTTTCTAAATTCATAGACCTCTTAATATTTTAAATAATACAATTAAATTTTAATTAATACATCCTCCTTAAAAATATAGGGAGTTATACATTTTAATTGAATATACCCCCCTCAATTTAGGAAGAAGAAAATTCTCAATCAAAATAATAAGGATTATGCTATGTGTACCCAAGATTTATACCCCAACTTGTACCCTGCAGTTTTACACCAACATTTTGTGTTGGTGTAAAACTAATTTTTGCTAACGCACTAACATTTGTCTCCGTGTAAATTTTTATTAACGCACCAACATTTGTGTCGGTGTAAACCATCAAAACATTTATGCGAAATCGTGGTGTACAAATGAGGTATATTTTTTGGTGTAAATGTAGCATGGTCCAAATAATAATTACGGAGTACAATTGTTTTTTTAGGAGCCAACCAGCGGTCCATTTACTCCGTATTTCCTATCACCGCCTTGAAATCAACGTCAATGCAAATCTCACCGTTAAAATATCCACCCAACTCTCCCATCGCAGCCGTTCGATCATTCCTCGCCTTCAATAAATATCGCAACCTCAACCCTGATCTTATTCAACTCCACGGGAAGCCAGTAGCCGCTCAATATTTTCTTCACAGATCTGTAATCCTTGTTCGTTAGATCTATGGAGTAGATTCTTCCTTGGCTCTGTTCGATGTCCGTCGGAGGATTAGCCAGATCTCAGGTCGCTGTTCATTCATCATCGGCCGACCGACGGTACATCAGGTGTTATTTTTGTGTTCCGATTTGTTCTGGCCTGATTTCAATTACATCTGTTTGAGGACGGTTTGGTTGATCTATTGGTCGAGTTTGATATGGATTCATCTTTTCTTCTATGTTCTATATCGTTGTGTGTTGATGGTGGTTGGCAGGTTGTCGGTTAGATCTGGTTATGGTTTGAAGAGATAGATCTGGCTGGGAGGATTCTGTTTGAGCGCGATGGTTCTCGCTTGGAACGGAAGATCTCAGAGACGAAGATTTCTGGGGATGATCAAGGTTAAATAAAACGGTTCATTGATTGTTATGTTGAGATATACTCCGTATCTGTTGCACTCTTAATTACAGTATGCAAGAGCGTGATGATGATGCGTTTGTATATAGGTAGAGACGAGGCGATAGGGATCATTTAATTGTGATGCATAGGTACTGTTGTTCTGAGAGACCTTTGCCATGGAGGGTGCGCTCCCATGGCAGGTCAACCATCTGAATAAAGTACTGGTTTTTGGTTTTGGAGGGGAGATGGCACGGGGTTTCCTGGCTCTCCCTTCCGGTGTCGTGTGTGCCTCCATCTTCTACTCCTCTTTTCTTTTTCCTTTATTTTTTTCCCTGAACGATAATCAAGAATCATCTATCAACCATGAGAGAATGAATAGTAGTGGGCCAAAGATGAAGATGCATATTTTGTACGTGCACACAACCAAGAGCAGACGCTGAATTATAGGTTCGCCACCACCAACTCCAGCTATGGTGTTTGCAATTCATAACACAACTTATAAGGTACACTTAATTGGAACCTATTTGATTTGCGTTTCAGCTTCATCATTATAAAACCTAAAATAATATTTCAATTTGGCATTTTGTAACTAAATCAAACGTTCTCTGTAGTTGATTTTAAACTGAAATTGATATTTGTTAACGCAGCAAAATTTGTGCAGCATTGTATTTCTTTTACGAAGTACTGGTTACATGTCATTGATATAATATATTGGATTGGCATTGTGTTAATTGGTTACAGCTCGCTGATACCTTGAAATGAACCAACTTCACATGAAAGTATACTATGAATGTTATTTTGAATTAAACTAGACATTGTTATTTTCAAGATATTATTGAGATTATGAATTTAAAGTATATGTTTGAGCAAATAGAAGCCATTTGTCCAACATTTAATATCTTGAAACTAGCATATCACTTCAAAAGATTTGATAGATTTTTGCCAGCAATGTTAATGATTAGATGTTTCTCTCCTGAAGATGTGTGTTATTGCCAGCAAATATGTACCCTGCCTCTGAACTTTTATTTTAAGTTGCGCCTTTTGCAATAAAATGTGCATACACTTCCAGTTTATCTTCAATTCGTCCTGTTGTACAGTGGTGTGTGTGCGTCTGGTTTCTGGGTTTCTTCGATCTCCAGGTGACTGCACTTTGGACATTCAGCTCCTGATTTGGAGTAATCAAACGGCTTGAGCATTCCACTTGTAATATGAAGTTTTCTAATATTGCTTTTGGAAATCATATTTTTTGTTGATTTGTAATATATACTGATCCTTTGTCATTACCATGCACTATAGGCTATACTTTTCTCTCTATGTATTCCAGATTTTTGTAGTAAATTTGATTTTGAGGGCGTGTCATGTAGCTCCAATGTGGATTTGGTGTTATTTTGATTACCCCCTTCTCCGTTCCCTGAAGTTTATGGTCCTTCACTAATCTCGGTCTAATGAAAGTGTCCTGAGATAATTTTTATACTAAAGCAGCGTATTGATATATATCAGTTTCTATCTTTTTTATTCTCCAATCTATTTTACTGTGACAGTGTTATCTTTTTTTATGGGACCTGCTTGAAAAAAACTCATTTTTTGAAGGCAAATATGGCATTTGAAAATTCTTAAAAAAATTGTACTGTTGTGTCATTAATTAGGGTGTTATGATATTTTGTTGTGTCATTACTGTTATTTGAATTCTACAAAGACGTTGAATGTTGAAAAAACTATTCTTTGAAAACAAGAGGAGCATTACAAAGTGTATTCCTATTGACAGATTATTTCTCTTCGCAGAATTAGCGGGATTGATATATTGGTACTTGCGGAAAGGGAAATAATGTAGTTGCAACAATTGAATGGAGTGGATGATGCCCTCTTGAATAAACATTTTGTTAAGGTGGAGATGAGGACTTAATCTGTATTCTAAGGTTTTGCCACCTTAAGGTTGGTCATTAAACTCTACTTATATTCTCCTAGTCCTTGAAGTTCTCCTAATTCTATCGGCCCACTGCTTGTTTAAATGCATTATATGCTGTACCTTTTTATTGTCTGCGTTGGCTGTGTCTGGAGCTTGGGTTGGAAGAGCGCTCAAAATTTATTTTGAGAGGATGGTGGTTCGATCCCACCCGGACACTTGAACTATGAGGGGGAGTGTAGATTTCTCTATTTTGTTAATACACAAAATTATTTTTCACATCATACCTGAAAGGATTTTCAACATGACAAATCTATACTGATACTTCCCTATTGTTCTCAATTTTGGTTTTGAAGATTTTATTGTTCTCAATTTTGGTTTTGAAGATTTTTTTATGAAGTGTTGGAGACTATTAAAATTCTCAAGTTGAAATGAATCTTTTTGTCTGTTATAGTTTAATTACATTTTTTTAGATTAGTTAAATTTTTTTTAAAATATAAATTTTGATAAGCATATTAGTTTCTGAAAAAGGACTTCTTCAAATAAAAATGTTTTAGATATTGATACAAAATTATTATAACAAATATTATTAAATTATTATTTTATGCATTTAATGTACATTAAATATTTTGTTTAAATATAGGTCAAAGATTGAAAATAGTTGTTCGGAAAAATATCAAAAATAGACTACTACTCAATGACTCAAATAGTATTAGGAAAAGTTGGAAGAAAAAAAAAATCTAGGTCTTGTTCTTGTTTTTTTAGTTGTCTAAAAATTTCTTTTAGGGTTTTTATTTTGGCACAAATCTTTTTAATAAATGTATTATAAGTGAGAAATTTAGGAGAAAGATCAAAATAAGATTAAAATATTGAAAATATATCAGAATAGAACTTTTATTCCCAAAGTAGGAGTTAAAATGTATTTATATTATCAAACATGGTCAAATACATTGCCAAAAAGTATGACAATGTGCACATGTATATGGCTTCATTACAAATACATTACCACAGTGTGAAAATTTATTTCAGGAAAAAATGTGAAAGTCTTATTTTAGTATTTTTCTCTATTTTTTAGTCCTATTTAGAATGATTTCTAATTGTTTTTTTTAGTTGATTTCTAACACATAATGTAAAGACTCAAAATATACTATGAGATTTCTTTTAAAAAAATGTTTTTATGGTTAAAATTATATTCGAATTGTTGGTCTCTAATACAATTTGATGATAATTGATCTTACTAAATAATGTCCGATATATCTATATATACTTATTACAATAATGAAATCTAATACTAAAATAATAGGAATTATGGTAATAATATATTTTTAGGAAAAATTATGGTAACAACATAATAAGTAAATACGGAGTAATTAGAATAAAGAAACTAAATAATACGGTGTAATAAAATACTACTCGTATTTCTTATCATTACTAATATGGAGCCGCGCAAGCTGATTAGCAGAAATGATAAGCGGGTTGAAACACAAGTACTATAATGGAGCCGCGGAAGTTATTTTATGCGAATACGTGTTTGACGGGTAGGAATTATCAATTTTGCGAATGAAGTAGCATAGATGTTACAATTGGAATCGGTGTTTGAGTGTCAACCGAACATAGCCAAAGATAAATATATAAATACTAAGACCCTATTCATTTATGTTGGAATTTGAGAATTAAATGTTAGATGAAATTAAAAGAAGTTAAAAAAACAGAAAAAAGTTAGAAAAACTAAAATTTGAAAATATTGAAGATTTAAAGTGTTAAAAAATATTTAACTAAATGATCGCCTAAGTAAATAACTAAGCAAACTAATATTGGATATAAAAAAGAATTCATCTTCTCCGTATTTTACGGTGGATTACAGGTTGATGATGGGATCTGGACATGGACTGACTGGGGGAATATATTAGATTGGTCGGGGATCTGCTTGGAACGGAACGGAAGATCTGGGATCTTGCTTGGAAAGAAAGATCTCGAGAAGAAGATGGCTGATGATGATCAAGGTTAAACGGTTCATTGATTGTTATGTTGAGATATACTACGTATCTGTTGCACTCTCAATTACAGTTTTGCAAGAGCGTGATGATGATGCGTTTGTATATAGGTAGAGACGAGGCGATAGGGATCGTTTAATTGTGATGCATAGGTACTATTGTTCTGAGCGACCTTTGCCATGGCGGGTGCGCTCCCATGGCAGGTCAACCATCTGAATAAAGTACTGGTTTTTGGTTTTGGAGGGGAGATGGTACGTGGTTTCCCGGCTCTCCCTTCCTTGTGTCGTGTGTGCCTCCATCTTCTCTTCTTTCTCTCTTTTTCTTTTTATTTCTTCCGGATCTGCACCCAAGAATCATTATGAAACATCACCGATATGAAAGAATGAATTGTTATTGGACTGGCGAGGAAGATGCATGTTGCGTACGAGTAAACGACCAAGAGCTGACTGCTAAGGTATTTGCACTTCTTAACACCGCTAAAAGGTACTCTAAAATTTGACCCTCTTCTCGATTGGTTCTTTAAATTCATCATTACTGAACTTCTTTTCGTGACTTTTTCATTAAGCACATAAAACTCACTAAGAATATCATCAACACAGCAGAATTGTTGCTAGTCTCCTTTATGGAGTAATATTGTCATTCTAATAATCTCTATGCTGGTAAATATCATTGAGGTATTACTGAGATGTACGGAGTAACATATAATCTTGCATTCAATTATTATTGAGATTATGGGCTTAGCATGTTATATATTAAAATCATTGTCTCTTGTAATTATATGGAGAACTTTCTTATTTTGATTTGATTATGATTACTTTTGAGGACATTCATTGGAGTAGATGGTCCTTGCATAATTTATGACTTTTTTGTGATTGTGTATACCATCTGGGTTATAGAAGATTGTAATTATGTCCATTCAAATATGATGTTATAAACTGGATTGGAAAATAAATGTAGCAACTTTGAAGTCTTATGCAGCTTGCACCCTCATTCAATTTGGCTTGGTGAAAGAACATTGTGTACCCTTGTGACCAGGACTGGCTCTCATTCACTGGATGATACTGCTCAGCAGTTCCTGCTTTCCACATTGTGCTTATAATAATTGATAAAAATTTCTCTTTTATGTCCGCCAATGTTTCTTTTGTTCAGTTACATTGAATCGAAGTATTATTTCTGGTGGCTTTTATAATCTCTCTGGTCCTTTTGAATCAAAGTTTTTTGTGGCTATCAATTTACTGATCAATTGCTTCGAAATGAATATGCTATATATGTTATTTTTCCTTCCCATAATTCAAGATTTTTATTAGATTCAAGTTATTTAATTTGAGCTGATCTTGTGAAGTTTAGATGATGGTTGAATGCGTGCACCATGGTTAGAATGAATTTCTTTCTTTTGAGAAAACAAAAAGCTTGTAGAGTAAGGCTTTCCAGTTGGGGAAACATCTCAGAGGGCATCTGCTGTTCTTAGGTGTTTGTAGCAGAGGTAAAAGGTATTGGTCCTAACTTCGCAGAGAGCATATGCTGTTCTTCACTGAAATTGTAGACGGTGGTTGAATCACCAAACAACGGTTAACTGGACTCAAATGTGGTTTTATCACCAAACGTTTGTTCCACTTCTTTCACCCTGTATTCAAGAGGTTGCTTTATGCAGAAAGTTAGTCTTGTTTCTCCATTTTCTTTAGAGAACTGATCCAAAAGTACATGGGGACTAATGGATACATAAACGTAGTCAAGAGTGGCCTATGCCATTACTTACTACAAATGCATTCTCAAATCCATATTGTTTGGTATTTTCTCTGATGGATGCTGTGTCTGGAGCTCGGGTTGGAAGAGCGCTCAAATTTTTATTTGAGAGGATGGTGGTTCGATCCCACCCTGACACACTGAAACTGAACGACTAAATTTTCATTCACTGTGTATTACTCTTTCCATTGTTTAGAGGTGACTTTTATCTTTTCACTATGCATCTTTTTAAAATAATATTCTCTCCCTTCTTAGGTAAAAGGTTTTTAGTTTTGTTCAACACCAAGTTAAAAGATAAATAAAATTGTATAATTCAAAGTGTTGCAAATGAGTGAACAAATGGGTTTCTTGATTTAGTTTTTAATCTAAAACTAGTTTTATAAAAATTAAATTATGAGTGATAGTATTAGTCCAATATGATAGAATTTGGGATGAGTATGAATAATTGGATTGGATAACAAGACATTTAGGTTGAATCACATTAAAAGATTGAATTCAATTGATTAGTTAGTTCAACTCAAGAGCTTATATCAATTATTTTGCTTTTGAACTTTCGATATGGGATGATATTTTAACACAATATTTTAAACGATAATTCTTTGTATATGAGAAAAACTTATGAAAACATTTAAATAGAAGTCTTAGATTGTTCAAAACTATTTGAGTTTACATTGTGATTGTTACTGCTTCACTCATTACACATTATTACTCACCTTCTTTTTCATCACATTGTTGCCAAAGCGTACTCGTTTATCATATTGCCATCATATTTTTATTTTAGAATTAAAAAATTATCTCTTAGATATTTTTATATTTTTTTACTCTTATCCAAAAAAACTTCTATATTTTAATGTATAATAGAAGAATTTATGGACATATGGAATAGTTTTGTAGCCTATACACGGAGTATACATTTACTTTAGAGCATACACTTGTTTTAGAATTGTTGTCTTAGTGCGAGTTTCTTTTATTATATTTATGACACCTTTTGCCACAAATTGTGAAGAAAAAAATTAATTATCAAATGGGTGGTCTAACAAAGCATTGAAGAAGATTTTTTTGGGTTAAATTAGTCTTTTTGGTAGTGATTTCTATTTGTCAAATACGGAAAGTGATAAAGAAATGTGATGGAGAGCATTTGTGTGTGTGTAAACAATTTTTAGACTATATAAAGGATAACATACATGCCATAAAAACGAGAAATGCTTTCAACGCTCATATGATCTTTCAAAAGATTTTAGTTGTAAAACAAAACTTGTTACTTGGTGGTGTTGGTCTTGTTTGAAAACAATATTTTTTATTAGCGTTAACATTTTAGATAAATTTTAATTGTGTAGATTAATTCTGAAAATGATAAAGACTACCATTAGATAATCTTTTGAAAACGCTAATCTCTAATGCTGATGCCAAACGGGCCGTTATGTACGTCCAAACTTTTCACATTTTCTTTTTTATTCCGTCGCAAAATAATTATTACTTTTAAGACAAAAATCTGTGATCCAACATTTTTTTCTCTTCTAAAAAATATAACCACTGATTTTTTGTATTCAACATATTTTTGTCATTTTTTAGATACTTTTCAAACTCATGCAACTCAACAAATTTTACTTATTTAGGAATTCTGTTTCGCAGTCTTCTTTAGTTCATCATCCCTACCCAATAAATCCTTAAGTTTCAAATGCAAAATGCTTTGCCAAAGAGTACACCATGCAAATACAGACACGGCCACAGACACGGAATGTCTGTGTTTGCTTGGAGTACAAATATTGTACACCATTTCGGGTACATAGTGTACCCCTAGCCTTATTCAAATTAAAATGACACTATCAACTTCTCTTATTTCTGCCTTTCTTTGAAGTTCCTGGTATTAAACTGCTAAGATTACAAATGCTTGTGATTTCTAGATAGAATACACCCATGCACTTATAGAGGCATTCACTGGATAAAGAAATGATGGCAACTCCTAAAAGGTTAGTACTTGTACATCAGTCATATCTCCTCTATTTCCAGTATATTCAAGATTTCAGGTCAGACCAAAGCATCATTAATTTGCAAAATAATGGCCCAGGGAACCTACCACTCCTGGGTTCAATTTCTTGCCATCCATCTTCTTCTTACACAGGAACCTGTACACTTTTGCTGCTACTACTCTTGAGGTTATCATTGAGGAGGATCTGTAGTGGCAGAAACAGATGGCAGAATTGTCTGTGAAGCATTCATATTTACCTTTATCCTGTGCACCAAAACAGAAAAAAATGGCATTTGTCATCTAAATTGTTCACCTGTCTTCTTCTTCATCTAGTATTTGTGTTTTTTTTGTCGTAAATTTCATAGAGATCAAAATCTTACTTGTTGTGAATGTTCACGTATTCATCAGTTTCATCCAGTATCTCCTCCTAACAAAAGCATAAAATAATAACAGGCATGAATTGATATGTTATACAGAGTAGTAAGAGTGAGCTAAATCGGCAGACTAGTCTTTGTTTTTTTTGTGCACCTGGAGAAGCTCCTCAATGACATCTTCCATGGTAATCACACCCACAACCTCTTGATTTGGAGGGAATTCGGGAATGGGAGTTTTATCCAAATCTAAAATACAAAACGAGCAACCTCGGTGTCTTTTCTTGAAAGCAGGAATTTGATCTTCGGTCGCCTTCTCAGCATCATTCGGAATGGATTTAACTCCTGAATTCTCAACTCCATCTGAACCAAGGAAACGATGCTAAAATTTATAAACAAATGTAGCAGTTCCATACTTGTAAGAAAGAGCTTTCTTTGAATAATGTTAACCTTTAAACTTGTTGGTCCGGGTATCTATTGTCTCGTTCACATCTTTGTAAACAACAGCAATGTGACTGTGGCCCTTTTGGAATTCATTTAGAATGTCATACAAAGGTATCTTTTCTGAAACCCTGCAAGTGTTTTGCAAACAAAAACTGCAGTGCATTAAAATTAAAATATACTGGCAATCTGGCATTACACAAAAAATCAACAAAATGGACATTCATTATAGGGTTTTAAGATAAAGATGAAGGTATTGATACCTTGGTATTTTTCTTATGGTCATTTTCTTTATAGGAACTGAATCTTCTGGATTCACCGCCAAAAGATTCTTGACCTGTTTTCAGGAGTAAAAAGAAGGGGAAAAAATCAATTCTTGATTTAAATCCCTAACAAAGTACACATGTTCACTTATGCCAATTTTTTTTATACCAAAATAAGCCCAACAATATTGGTTGTGTTTTTATAGTATACAGGCACTCTACTATGGCCCTTTGTCATTATAGAATTGAGAGTCTCCCTACAAAAAAGGGAAAGAAATAGAAATGCAAAGGTCAGTGATTACTTATTTTAATCAAGTACGGAGTTCAAGACTTAGAGGCATAAACTCACAAATTAAGGGTTCCATCAAGATCAACAGAAAATGCTTTTGATATTGGGGTCATCGCATCTTTAGCAGTTTTCTCTGTGAGCTCAAGAGCTCCGGCAATAATAGTTGTTTCATCATGAGTGAGATCACCTCCTTTCCCAGCCTAAAAATGAGGATGAAAATGGAAGTTTAGGCACAATATTAGGTATATAAGAGAGTAAAGAAAAACTTCACATCTATGAAATGGTAAAATTACACATACAAATATGATATAGTTGCATACCTCATTTCCATGAAAATCAAAAAACGTTTTCAGCTCTGCTCTGCGCAGAAGGGCAGAACGATCTTTTCCCAACATCCAATCTAAAACCTTGAAACATAAAACAAATCGATATTAAAATGTCAAACCCTGTTAGGAGTAGCTATATGACTTATATGTTTGGTTTGTAATTCTGTATCTGTCCAAAATGAGAGGACTTAACAATGCATGATTATACAATTTGATAATAATTGGTGTTACTGAATAATGAGGATTATACCGCTATATATAGGGAATACATAGGGATTTCTAACTAAAGTAGGAAAAGTAAATATGGTAACAATATAAAATGGAAATAGAATGATATGGAAACTAATAAAAATACTGTATTTAATAATACTTCTATTACGTGACGTAATAAATGATTAAACACATCTTCGTATGATTTCTTTTAACTTAAACCAAAAAAATTGTGTTATTCAAGAGAAATTCATTCCCTTACGACAATGTTACAAATTGTAAGACATTCCTTATGAATAAACAAATTCTTAACGTAGAATACTCACAAACACAATACTAAAAGCAGATGCTTTGCGCATCCAGATTACCTTACTAATTGGATAAGCGATAGGGAAGAAGACCCAGAGAAGGAGACGAACAAAGGGTGCTAC